CTCTAACCAACTTTTTCTCCTTAAATTGTAGATTACTATTAAAACCTGGATGATAAGTATGTCTATAATTATTATTTCCTTAATTGTTTTAGTTTTCCAATGGGTTTGCTTGGTTGTTCCCCCATTGTTGATTATTACCACCCAAATTATTATTATATCAGTTAAAGTTAGGATGGTTTTTCAAACCTGGGTTATAATAGTTTGAATATAGGTTATTTGACTTAATATTTATGACATTCAAAGTTTCTAATGATGTTTGAGAATGTTTCTAATGATGTTTGATAATGATGTTTGAGAATCTACCATTTGTCCAAATGAACTCTCTTCAATCATGAAAATCGGTTGAGAAAAATTAATTCCAAATTAGTCTAACTTCCTTAAAATTGTAGCAACTTGATTTGTTAACATTGCAAAAGCATCAGATTCATGAATATTGGCTGCTTTCTTAGGATTTACCCTCTCAGAAGGCCATTGAAAATTATTAGTAGTCATCTCTTCAATTAAAACAAATGCATCATGAAATGATTTTGACATCAATGAACCAACAGCAACGACGTCGATAATAAATCTAAGAGATCCAACAAATCCATTATAAAAGTTTGAATTATTAACCAATATGGTATAACATGATGAGGACATTTTCACAAGAGTTCTTTAAATTGTTCTCATGCTTCATAAATAGATTCCCTTTCAAACTGATAAAAAGATGTAATATCATTTTTAAGCTTCACAGTTTTTTATGGTGGAAAATATTTATCAAGGAATTTCTGCGCTAAATGACCCTAAGTTCTGAAAGATCCAGGTGCTAACAAATTTAACCATATCTTAGCTTTTTCCCTCAGTGAGAATGAAAAAATTCTGAAAAAATTCTAAGTCTAATATCTAAGTCTAATAGCATCATCCAAAATACCATCATATTTAAATATAAAACACAATTCTAGAAATTTGACAATATGTAAATTTGGATCTTCAGTTGGTGCTCCCCCAAACTGATTATTTGATACCATTTGAATAATAGCTGGTTTAAACTCAAATGAATTAGTCACTACAGTAGGTTTTTGAAAAGTAACTATGAAGTTCATCTACTATAGAGTTTGCATAATCTCTTAAAGGCCCAAATTCTTGATGAATTTCAACATTTGATTATTTTGGATTGTCATTTCTTGAAATTTTTAAACTCTTTTTGTATTTTTGATTTTTCTAATATTTCTTTCTAATTTAGAATCATAGGGCACTAGTCCTTTAGAACCTAAACTACGCATACATTACTACAAAATAAAATAAAAATCACATAAACAAGAACTTATATAAAAAACAACACTATGATATTCCTATAATAAATCTAAAAGTTTAAATAAGGCTTTCTAAAACTAAAAAATTGTTATCCTAAAAAATTCCTTTAAATTTTACTAAATTTTTCTTTTTCTCCCTGACAACAGCACCAGAAACTTGATCCTACTTTCTTATATATACTTTTGCTTTTTGACTCCATTGCTAAGAACTAGCTGTAAGTTTTCTGACAACAAAAGCCAAAAACTTGATCTCTATCCGGTACGATAGTACTACGATGTATGTTTGGTTAGATTCCCAATTCTTTTTAGTTATAATTCTTCTTTACAATGGTGCCAAAAACTTGGTTCCGAAGCAAGTAAGAGTGCAATTGTTATATTTAAATATTGGGATAATAGTACGCATGTATACGTATCGTTATCAAGTAATATAGAGTTTTTTGATTAAGCTCTAAAATATCGAACCTACATGGAGAATTATACTCTTAAGAAGAAATTATATAACAAACTCTACTTTGAAAAAGAGTCTTTCTCAAACTATAGATACTATGGTAGGAATGAAAATTTAATTCTTTAGGGTAATTTTTTATAATTGAAAATAAAGTAAACAACTTACTAAATTTAATTAGATTTTTGTAAGATGAAAGCAAGACAAATAAAATATCTTTTTCCTTTTCATGAATCAATAACAAGTATAAGAATTCTTTTGTGAAAGTAATTAAAGTGTGTTGTGCCAAATATGAGCAATACTATTATTTACCATTACTAGAGATGTTATAAATAACATTGACTAATCTAAAATTTGAATAGTCCTGAAGAAGGGCTATGTAGTGAAGATACTAGCTCTCACTCTAGAGTTCCCTCTTCTCCATCCACCTGGGGGCAAACTTCTCGTATCATGATCTAAAATAATAGACCGAATTGGGGAATTTAGCCTGTCACTCTAAATTCCTATAACTCTACACCCTTCAAAGTTTATTTCCCTATTTATTTGCACTCAACTATATGAGTAACATTCTCATCCATACAATCTCATGTGATTCTACCATTAGTTGACTAAGACAATATCATTACAAATCTTACATGTTCTCACAACAAATATTAACATCTCAATTGACCAAATCAAAAAGTAAATGAAGTACAATGATTAAATCATCACAACCTTATTCGAACAATAAAAATAAATACTTCATACAACTGGCACAACTTCCTTCCAACACTTAATTACTTATCATTTTAAGAAAAAAGATAAAAACAACTACTCAGAATTCATGAAGAAAACACAACAACAATTAAGTTTAAAAGTAGAAATCATGTAAAAACACAATAAGTCTAAATTAAAACTTAATTTAGTCACAAAGATAAAAACTTATCTCAAATTCCTCTCCACCAAACTCTCAAAGTTCCTTTGAATCTCATCCTTTCTCTTACAATCCTCCTTAGGCTGGTCGCCCAACCCTAGAGGGTTAAAATCTCTCTATTACACTAACAAAATACAATAGATTCTTACTTAGAACTATCTAATCACTTTCTCCTTCACTAGGAATGAGAAAGGTGAGAAGAAGCCCTAAATAAAATCCTACAACCCCTTATTTTCTACTCTCTAAAAGTATCCTAAATCTCTAATCTTCTCTTCTTCTCTCTAATCTCCTCTAATATGCTCTCCTCAATTCAATCTGATTCCTCCTTTTTATAGTTTTCAAAAAGGTGTTTTGGTGTCTCTTCAAAATGCGTCCACATTCAATGAATCTTCCAAATGTTGCCTTTTTTCAAGAGTCATTTCAATGTATTTTCGTGTCCATTAACTGTAATTCATGTTTTCAACAAAAGTTGCTTCGAACACCCCTTCGAAATTCATCCAAAATCCCTTGAATTTTCATCATAACTACCCCTGACGCGTAGGTGCGAGGTCTTTAGCTTTTTGGCAAGACCTTCTTTGTTTCCCGGTGCTTAAGCGTCAGTCTTGTGCGCGTAGGTGCCACAGTTCATTTCCACACTTTCTTCATTTTTGCTCCAAATTTGATTATTTTTCACTTCTTTCACCATATTTCGTCCATTTAACTGTATTTAAAAGAAAAACACACAAATATCTTTCATTAAAGTGCAAATATCCTCAAAACTAGGTTAAAAATGTGTACATAAATGGTATATATTTTAGATGTATCAATCTGCAAAAAATCAAGCCATAAGAAGTAATCAAAATGTAAGCAAAACCTTTAAAAACCAAGCCACAAATAACAAATTTTTCCATGAACTTCTCTCTCAAATGCTTTCATTAATTTCCTCATAAGAATCACAAAATACTAGGCCACAAGAGGCAATCACAGAGCTAAGCCATAAAACGCAAGACACAAAGCTAAAAAACGACAATCACATCCATAAGCACATAGAATGATTCATCAAAATCAAGATACCACTAAGAGCCAAAAATCGTTGCCCAACATCAACCACATTCTTACAAAAGGAGTTAAGACTAAGGGAAAGAGAGGGGTAAGAAATACTAGAGGTCAGAAGAGAAGATGGGCTCGGAACCAGTGAGAAGGGAGGAAGGGGATGTGAGTGCCACTAGAGACCGTTGACTGGAGTTAGAAGAGGAGAAGGGAGCTAGTTGTCACGGACAAAAAGTCCCACATCGGCTAGGTGTATTACTGAAAAACAACATTTAAGTCCTGGGTTGCCCACTATCCCGAAGAGCTCTTTTGGGAGGTGACAAGTGGTATTATAGCAGATACTGCCTGCCAGGTGTGTGGACTCTCTATGGTCCAGTGGGACACGTGATTGGGTGGAGGAGAATGTCATGGACAAAAAGACTCACATTGGTTAGGTGTAGGGCCGAAAAGCTGTATTTAAGTCCTGCCCATCACCCCGAAGAACTCTTTTGGGAGGTGACATAGTGCATGAATGCGCTAAGCACAACAGAGAAGAACCGAGCGCATGCAGAGGAAATCGATGGCACGTGAAGGAAATCACATGATCAAAATGCGGGTCGCGAGATATAACCCATGTTTACATAAGGTTATCCCACACCGCCAACACACCAAAGTTTCCAAACAGGAGTTTCCATGTTTTGGGCTGAACCATAACTTAAAAATTGCCCTAAACATACCATATGTGCTTCCTTTTTAGCAGTTACCAATATGGTACGATGCTAGCGCCGATTATGGATCCCAGAGTAAGTTGCAAATATAAATAGGTGTATTAATTACTTATAACATTTTTATTCAAACGACAAATATGTAACTTTATTAGATACTCCCTATTATCTGTAATTAGGGGGTCATTTCTTCAAGAGAAGACTATTGAATCTACTTTTTGAGAACTTGTGTTAGTGTGCACTTTATTTATCTCTTTGCTCTTTCTGTTCCTCTGATCTGTCCAACGCTCCGATTTTTGGGTGTAATTCATAGCCATTTTTGGATTCAACACATAATAATTATTAATTAATCAAATAAAAAAGTAATTAATTATTTATTTGATAAATGTTAAACTATTGATAATAAACAATAATTAGTTTAACAAAAAGTTTATTAATGATCAGGGTTTAATTATGTTTTTGTATTTTTATAAATCTAAATATTGTCAAAAATTTTATAAGATCTACTAAATTCATTATCAAACAATTTATTGAAATTTAATTATTTTATATTTTACTAAATTAAAATTTATAGGATTTGATAAATCCTCATAATTTAAATCTCATGAGCTGTTCCCGGTTCGACGTGGGCGCGTTTCCTCCCCTCCTGTTCTCCGTAAACCAACCCTAACGATCAAACAATTGGCGCTCCTCCTCCGGCAATCAGCTGCCAGCAAGCGAGAACCACGAGATATGGTGTGGTTTCAGTGCGAAGACTGCGGCGAGAACCTCAAGAAGCCGAAGCTACCCAATCATTTCCGAATCTGCTCAGCCCACAAGGTTCAGTTTCTATAAATTCTTGATTCGACTTGAAACTATGGTCTTCCCCAAGCCCGCTCTGATTTCGATTCTGCTCTGGTTTCTGCAGCTATCTTGCATCGATTGTGGGGCCATTTTTAGCAAGGAGAGCGTTCAGACCCACACGCAATGCATGACTGAAGCGGTTCTGTCTCCTTCTTTTCTAGTTCTGATTTCATCTCAATTAATAAGAATTATTACCTCTTCTCTGTTCTTTTTCTATTCATAGTTATGCATATTCATGAACTGAAGTTCGGAAAGAAAAGTTTTGCATTTGGGTGAATTTTGTTTGTTACTATTTAAACTAAAATCTCGCGTAAAATATGTTGCCAAACAGCTCCAATTTTATAAGGGGAAGTGTCTGGTGGCTCGTATGTATGTTCTTTCTAAAAACTGCTGCTTTGCTACAGGAATTGTACTGTATTGAATGCTGATATATGGATCATAATAATGCTTTCAGGAGAAATATGGTCCTAAGGATCATGTGAAGCCCTCACAGAACTCAAATAGTAAGCCTGAGAAACCGAAGAAAAATGCTGATGTTGATATAACTGTTGGCCTATCTTCACGGCCTCCCTGGTTTTGTAGGTAGGCTGTGACGCTTTATCCACGCTTCATTCGCATCTTCTATTACATTTGTAGATTCCCTCAAAATGTAGAGCAATATCGATAAACTTTCTCTTTAGGTTACAAGGATACTGTAGTTGTACCCCTAGTTTGCATGATCTGAACAGTGTTTTAGCCGCTTATATTTTGTTTTCTTATTCTATAATTTATTTCTTCTTCAGTTCAGTTTTTCATATATGCTATAAAAGGAGTGTTTCGCATGGAACACTACACCAATAACTATACTTGAACAACTGATACGGCCAGGAAACCTCCCTTTTACTTGGTAGTTTTATTTATCGTTTTGTTAAAGAAAGTTATGTGAAGAAAAAATTTCATTTTAAAAAAAATTCATCCAATGCATTTTGATCTTTGCCTAGTCTTTGGCTATGCAACAACTATGCGATGAAGATCACCAATTTAATATAGGGTTTCTTATTCATCTTTTTTCAAGACATATTGGGGTTATTCATTCTAATAAAGGAACCCATTTAGGTAGATTCTGGGCTCTTTAAATTAGAAATTTATTTATCGAAATGTTGGATTCAACTTTAGTTAGCTTATGCTTTTTTTATCGCATTTTGATATAAGATCAGTTGCTAAACGTTTATTTCGCCTATTGTAATTGCCTTATTTCCATGAGCATCAAACAAAGAAGATACATGCATTAAATAAAATAATCAAATAAATCTTATGGAACCAAAAGGATTAATTGTTTGACTATTGTTATTGTAATTAAGATGCTTTTCTTGTACATTTAAAATGTTTGTGAAGTGTTCTAGAGGATACCTATTTTGAGAAGACATGTCAGTATGTCACTTATTTAGGGTGCTTTGTGGAGAGGAGATGTTGGCTAGAAAGCCTTCTGATTTAATAACCACATTATCAAATTCACATCTAATGAAGTTTTAATGCTGCTTGGTTTGAGGAATATATTAGGGGAAGTCTGTCAGAATACAGAATCACTATGTAAATTGATCTCCGGTAGAGTTATAAACAATTTTTCAACTTCACAGATGTATCAACGCCTTGTGATGTAATTTGTCCAATATTTTTGAATAGTTTTATAATGCTTATGAGTTTGCTAGATTATGGGAGTGATTTGAAAAAAATCTATCATCAAAAACAGTACATTTCTCATGCATTCTCAGTTTAATAGCATGTCTTTTCATTATCAACTCTAATCAGGTATATTGTTGGATTTGTTTTTATTTTAATGGAATTTATCTTTTCTGTTCTTGTTTAGGACATTTTTTTTAATTTTTTTATCTGATTAATATTTGGTAAATAAAATTAATTCTCCATTGATGTGTCAACATGAGTTTGAAGGTCATGCATTTCAAAATCATGAATTTCATAAACTGATATTGAATCGAATATTGTAATCTTTTGGTTTAATTAAAAGTATTTTTCGCAAGTGTGTAATTTGAAAATGTGTTTTTGTTGTTTGATGATTGATAATGAGTATTTTCTCTCATATTGATTTTGTAGATTATTTGAAAAACCTTCAAAGTTTGATAAGTCAGTACTAGTTGGAGAAGAATGTGAACAAAATATTATTGCAACAATTACATAACTTGCATATAATTGCGATCTTGACGAAATAGTTCAAATAACACTTCTAGTTGTTGCATATGATCTTACCATCATCGATTTTATTCTAGAAACATGAAACCAACATTTTCAATACAAGATTTTATTCCACAACTTGAAATGAATGTTCAACCATTTCATCAGGATCAAAATCATGTGTTTGTTTTGTTATTATTGAATTAAAATCTTGCCTAATGTCTTGTCCTATTTGCATATATTAAAATGTGCAATTAGCTCTTTCAATAATCTGCAATATATGCTAGAGAATAGTACTCAATCCTTGTCATCTTGTTTAGGTCTTTTATTTATTTGTGCATTTGATAACATATTTTCTCAATAACGGCAAATATTTGACGTAACATTATATTTTGGAACACGTGGCTACAAGGGGCAGTACCTTTAATAGTCACCTCTAAACTTCAATAGATAATCATGACTATCACTTGCATTTCCCAAATCAACAGATTCATATAGGGTGGCTTGTATGTTTGTTTGACATTAAAATTGTTAGGTTCATCTCCACTAACATCATGAATACTATCCTAAACCTACACTTCGTCAATTGAATGGGAAATTTATTAAAGCAAACCATTTAAGGCTGGAATCTATAATTGCCATTCAATTAATATAATCTTCTCATCTAATTCTTTTTCAAATTACAAATTAACATTGATGGTCTTTTCTATTTCATAAAAATATGATCTCCTTATCATAGAGGTCATGTTGCATTATTGACATTTGACACTAATTAGAGAAAATTTGTTGCATTTTTGTTTTAGTGTTTGTGTAGTATTTATATAATCCTAGGAGAGCTTATATTAGAAAATTTATAAAATCATTGAAGAATAATTATATTAGTCCACAGATTGATGAGTAGACAGAATAATAACTATGAAATACTTTTAGTGGCCATTAATTGATGAGGTGTTAATATTAATCCCTTGAATCAGTGAGATGACATGTAATGAATAAGAAAGGAATTAATTTATTTTTTTTTTTTCACTCTTCAGGTGAATGAAATAATTTTTTTCATTTAAAATTTGCATTTCAATTTTTGAAATTTTATTCCTAATAAGCTTTCGATGAGAATGTTTACAAGTTGGCAATACGTGGCAATGATTGGAGAACATACTTGACAACTATAATCTCTTCCTTTATAAAGTGTCTTTTCATTTCAATGTTTTCTTCTGACATATTGTATAAGATTGTGTAATATTGATGGTTGAGTTATTGTCATTATAATTCCTAGTAGGACAATTTCATTTAATTTTTAAATTATTTTTGAATAATTTTTTGCCATACTAGTTTGCAGATTTCTAGTGCCATGGATTTAGATTCAATTTTTGTGTTGGATTTTACCACCATATTTTATCTATTTATTTCCTTTAGTCATGATGTTGCCTCTTAAGATTTTGCAAAATTTTGAAGTTGTAATTATATAAATCATAGATTCTATATAATTGACATCTTTATATTCTTTCAGTGTTAGATCCCCCCTTAATAAAATTCATTAACTTAAAATTTCTTACAAATATTATAAAATTTGATGTCGGGTGTGATTTCTTATAATTTTCCATAAATTGACTTATCACACTAACAACATAAATAATATCATATTTAGTATAAAATAAGCAAATAAGTCTTCTTACAAGTAATTGAAAGAAGGTTTTTTTCAATGGCTGTTTCTTTATTAGGTTTTATGGGGCTCTCAACAAACAAGCATTTCAACTTGGATATTTCCTTCAATTAGTCTTTTATAAATTTTTGTTAAGTTTTAAATATCCCATGTTGAGAGTATGCAACCTTATTGCTATGGAAGTACATTAATTTGTCTAATTTTTTTGCTTCAAATTTTTAGGGCTCTTTCTTCCTTAAAATTTTCATGTCTTTCAAGTCACTACTTATTACAGTCATGTTGTTTATGTAAATTACTACCATAAAGACTTCCCTTGAAGCTATGTTTTTAACCGATAATATATAGTTGCTAGTTATATCCCATTTTAAGTATTTCCTTGGATAAGCTCCGAAATATGCCCTTAGAGATTGCATCTATTCATATAATCATTAGTTTATGTACCTTTTGTTTTGGGTTTGAGCTAAATGCTAGTTGGCCCTCCTTATATTCCTCCTATTAGATTACCATGTAGAAAGGAATTTTTCACATCGAATTGTTGTATTTTCCAGACCTTGTTAGTTATTGATGACAAAAGAATTCAAACAACATTTATTTTATCAACAAGAGTGAAAGTTTCAATATAATTAATTTTATATGTTTGATTATAGCCTTCCACTGCTAACCTAGTTTTATATGTTTCTAATGATCGATTAGATTTTATACTTCACTGGAAGGAGTAATGTACAACTTATTGATTTCTTCCTTTTTGGTTGTAGCCAAGGTATTAAAGGCAAAATTGGGAATCGAGCATTTCTTTCATTGTGAGGCTAAGCGAGGCATTTTTTCATTGTGAGGCGTGGCAAGGCATTTTTTCATTGTGAGGCGATGCGAGGCTTTTTTTCATTTTTCCAAGTGTAAGCCTCAAAATGAAAAAAATTAAAAAATCATAAAATTAAACAGAATTCATAAACATGATATTTGACAAACCACAAATCTTGATCATTAAAGTTAGAATTTAATTATGTCAATATAATTCACTAGTTTATTTAATAACACATACATATAGTATTCCCAAATCATAAATATAAAACAAAACTCGAAAAGTTTGAAATAAAATTTGAACATTAGAATTTAAATATACCACAAGTGTCCGGAGTTGTGGAATTATCATCATCATTTTCATCTTTGGAAGAATCATCATATGTAATAACTCTATCATCCTCGAATTCTATTTTATCATCATCTTCATTTTACTCTCTATATCAATTAAAATTGAATTCAATATAATTAGTAACACAACTAAGCAATCAATTATACTTTAATTACAGAATTACTTTTAGATTTTTTTGAAGCTCTAACCCTACTTTGCTTCTTTCTTTTAAATGACTGTGAAGTGGTTACTCCAAATTTAATATGCTTTTGACCCCTTTCAATGTTAACATTGATATCTCCATTGTCATCATCATTAAAAGTCATCTTCATCTTCAACTTAAAATCCTTAAACGTTTTTTGGTGTTATTTATTCATCATCATACATAATATCATCAACAGTTAAACGATCTATTTTATCACCACCATTTCTATGTCGTTGTAGCTTTAAGTGTCTATCTTTCAATATTTTATTGAACTTAACATAAACTAATGACTCGCAGTGAGTCTAAAAGAACAATCTGTGACGCTAAAAATTCTACTTTTAGTATCTTTATGATAGATTAAATACCAAGGATGGTGAAAAATATATGTATAAACTAGTCAAATAAAGAAAAAAAAAAGT